AAAAAAAAAACACATTTAGAGTTGTTTGGAAGGGATACATCACTTTGATGGTGAAGCTCCAGTTTCTTTCTTGAGGATTTTTGACTTTATTTTAAGGGTGATTTCCCCCCCCCCCCCTTGAGCCCTGTTTTGGTATGATTTAGAGTGGTTGAGGCCAATTCAGGAATCTTCTCCACGGAAATAGCGAAAGAGATGTTGGTAATAAGTCTATATTTGGATTAAAAGCTTCTGTACAAAGCAAGTATGAATGATATGAACCAGAATACAGAGACTGAGAGACAGGGAGGTAGTCCTCAACGTACGACCGCAATTGAGCCCAACTTCTATGTTGCTAAGTGAGAAGTTTGTTAAGTGAGTTTTGACCCATTTTACGACTTTTAAATGAATCTGGCATTTCCACTGCCTTCGCTTGTCCGATGGTCACAAAATGGGGAATCACATGACCCTGGGACTCCGCAACCGTCATACGTGTGAGTCAGTTGCCACGCATCTCAATTTTGATTACTGTTACTGGCTACTGTGGTGATTCAGTTAACATCTGCGGCAAGGCAGGTCGTAAAATGGGGCAAAATTCACTTAACAAATGTCTCACTTAACAACATAAATTTTGGGCCCAATTGTGGTCATAGGTCGAGGACCATCTGTAATGTTTTGAGAGAGTGAACGTCGGTACATTTTTACGCGTTTTGGGCTTCTGAGACCTTACAGTGAATGGATATTGGCCAGGTATTTATTGGGTGTCCTATTACGAGGCATCGTCTTTACAAGGAAGCTCAGAAAATAAGTAGAAATCACATAATTTGGATCACGTAACACGTTAACTTCTGAAAGCCTGCCTAGCCAAACACAAGTGCTTTGTTTACATAACATACTTGGCCAAAATAAATAAACCACATAAGTTTTAAGATGCCGGTCTGCCCGGCAGATGCTGAACTACATTCTTATTTCAGCTCAGGTTCATGTGTCGTGCAAGCACAGCCTGTATAAGGTGGCAAGTTCTTAAAATTAACGCTACCGCCATCAGAAGCCGCCATGCTTATTTAAGAGAGCAGGCAGATTTTTGATAGGTCACATCGGAGCAATTTGCAATGGAATGCCTTACTGACTTGTAGGTCCCTGCTCATTTTTTATTTTATTTTATAAATATCATTTATTACTAAACTTCTATTGTTTTTCTGCCAAGAATTATTGACGATCTGGGGAAAGATGTTTGAGATGCTGTGCTTGAGACCTCAGAATGAAAACACAGTGGTGTCAAAACAGGAAATAGGAAGACAGATATCGGGGAAGAAAGGCTTCATCTAAGGCAGGGGTCCCCAACCTTTTGGACACCAGGGACCAGTTCCGTGGAGAGAGGTTTTTTCCACGGACTGGAAGGTGTGTGGTTTTGTGTGCTGCCTGCATCTTGCAGATGGGGCTTTGCTTGTTTGTGTGGACTGGTTGCTGGCATGCCACGGCCCGGTACCGGTCCATGGATCAGGGGTTGGGGACCCCTGATCTAAGCAGGGATTTCCCAAGCTGGGCAACTTTAAGACGTGTGGACTTCAACTCCCAACTTGGGAGTTAAAATCTACGTGGCTTAAAATTGCAAAGGTTGGGAAATCATGATCTAAGAATATGTAAAAAATCACTGGAGGTTTTTAGGAAGAGACTGGACGGTCATTTGTCCAGAGTGATAACAGGCAGTCCTCGACCTATGACCAAAGTTGAGCCCAAAGTGTCTGTCACTAAGCGAGACAGTTGCTAAGTGAATTTTGGCCCCTTTCGCGAGCTTTCTTGCCATAATTGTGAATCATTGCACTCGTTGAGTTGGCCACACAGTTGTTAAGTGAACCTGGCTCCCCCATTGACCTTGCTTGTCAGAAGGTCGCCGAAGGGGATCACGTGATCCCCGGGGACTCTGCCACCGTCATAAACGCGAGTCAGTTGCCAAGCGTCTGAATTTTGATCCCCTGACCGTGGAGATGTTGCAAGGCACACGAGTGTGAAAAAGGGTCATACGTCACCTTTCTTCCCAGCGCCGTTGTGACTTCAGACGGTCACGAAAGGAAACGATTGTAACTCGAGGACTATCTGTTATAGGGTTCCTGCTCGAGCAGGGGGCTAGACTAGAAGACCTTCAAGGTCCCATCGAACCCTATTATTCTACATTAGGTGAAAGCTATCTGGTCTAGTGGTTTTCAGGCACAGCATTTGTTTTGATCTCAAGTGTTTTCCCCCAGTGAGCATTTGAGTGGCAATTCACAGGAGGGCTTCCCCCCCCCTTCTGTCTTCTATGAGGAGATTTCTGTAAAATCGGCGTACAAGGTCTCAGTTGGCCTAGGCAGCATTAATGCCAGTTGCCCTTAAGGCTAACAGTTTTTCCAGAGGCAGGAAAAATAAGAGAAGCAGCAGCTAAGCTGATTTATACAGCAGAAGGGGCTGACTTATTACAAGATTTGGACAGCTATATAGTACATTTGAAAAGGTTAATAATAATAATAGTAGTAGTAGTAGTAGTAGTAGTAGTAGGTAGTAGTAGTAATAGTAATAATGTTGGAAGGGACCTTGGAGGTGATCTAGTCCAACCCCCTGCTCAGGCAGGAAACCCTATACCATTTCAGACAAATGGCTGTCCAGTCTCTTCTTAAAAACCTCCAGTGTTGGAGCATTCACCGCTTCTGGAGGCAGGTTGTTCCACTGGTTAATTGTTCTCACTGTCAGGAAATTTCTCCTTAATTCTAGGTTGCTTCTCTCCTTGCTTAGTTTCCATCCATTGTTTTCTTGTCCTGCCTTCAGGCGCTTTGGAGAATAGCTTGACTCCCTCTTCTTTGGGGCAGCCCCTGAGATACTGGAAGATTGCTATCCTGTCGCCCCTCGTCCTTCTCTTTGTTAAACTAGACATACCCAATTCTAGCAACCGTTCCTTATATGTTTTAGCCTCCAGTCCCCTAATCATAGTAGTATGGTAGAGTTGTCTACAGCAGGGCTCCCCAAGCCCCAGACTGTGGCCCACAGCCAGTTTCAAGCTGGGCTGTGCGAGCGATGGGCAAGCAAACGGACGTGAATCTCCTCTAGCGCGAGCGACAGGCACACACACGTGCACGCAAATGGGACAAAATTCACTTAACTGCCTTGCTTGTCAACAGAAAGTTTGGGCTCACTTCTGGTCCTAAGTTGAGGACTACCTACAATTGCCTCTTTTGTTCCTTTTCACATTGTTGGGTTGGCATTTGCTCTATTTTTTGTTGTTGTTGTTGTCGTCGTTGTTGGTCACTGCAGATTGGAGGAATTATCATTAGGGATTTTCTGTGGTTTCTTCCCGGCTTTAACTCTAGCTTTAAATCTGCCTCTTGTGGAAAGGATATGATTGAGGGTGGTAGTAAATTAAGCAAATAGCTGCTTTCAGAATTGTGTTTGTGAGTGTGCGTGTGCCTGCAGAAATGCAGCTCGATTGCTTCATTAGAGAATAAAGTCGGTAGGCGCACTGTGGAATGTCACCTGATAAATTACCTTTTGTTTTCATTTAGTTTACTTATAGGGAAAATTCATGCATTCCTGTCAATAAGGAAAATGCAAGTATCCAAAGCGAGATCTTGCTCTGAATATTTATTGGTTTCTTAAAAGAGCCCTCTCCCCAATTTGCTAAATGTTTTTTTTTTTTTTGAGATGCGGATCGATTATTCAAGCAATTGATGAAGTAGCTTTCCACGGGTTCAAATGTGTGTGGCTGCATTTCTGTGATATGAAAGGCTAAGCGCTGTGTTTGTAGCAGCTGTTTCTGGTGATTATTATAATTTAAGAAAGTGGCAGAGATCAATATGAAGTGAAACATATTTTTCCCATCTTTTTATTACTTATGCAATCAATGTATTAGCTGCCTCAGCCCTTCAGGCAGCTACAAGTGATATTGCATAAAGGAAAGTAGTTGTCAAGATCTTTTTTCCTCTAAAGTTTCTTTTTTCCTTTCTGTTTTCTTTTTTTAAGCCAAAGATACTGACTGCTAGTTCACGAGTCTGTGTTTTATGCGATTAGTAATGCCAGGGGTTTGGACTTGCATAGAATCTCAGTTTTCAGCGCTAGCAGGTTTAGCTATACTGTTTCTGATTGAACTGAGTTTGCTTGAGATCCTGGCTTAGAATCACTGTATTTCAAAGGCTTATAATAGTTCTTCTCTGCTTCTAAGATCTGCTTCTAAGATTCTAACATTCTGAGATCTGCTTCTAAGATCCAAGATATGTTCTAAGAGGCTAAAACATAAGAGGAACGGTTGCAGGAATTGGATATGTCTAGTTTAATGAAGAGAAGACGGAGGGGTGACATGATAGCAGTCTTCCAATGTTTGAGGGGCTGCCACAAAGAGAAGGGGGTCAGCCTATTTTCCAAAGCTCCAGAAGGCAGGACAAGACGCAACGGATGGAAACTAATCAAGGAGAGAAGCAACCTGGAACTAAGGAGGAATTTCCTGACAGTGAGAATTAGTCACTGGAACGGCTTCCATCCAGAAGTTATGGGTGCTCCATCATTGGACAGAATGCTTATAGGGTCTCCTGTTTGAACAGGGGGTTGGACTAGAAGACCTCCAAGGTCCCTTCCAACTCTGTTATTCTGTTTTGTCCTGTTAGGATTTTAAAAGAGCAATATGACAGTGTGTACTTATCATACTTTCTGCTTATTCCTTTTCTATTACAGACATATGGATAATTCTCTTCCCTCTTTCCCAGTGGGATAAAAGTGTAAATACAGTGTGTTCTTTAGTTTTATTTATTCGTTTATTTGGTTAATAGCTTCTCCAGTTAAATAGGGCAACTGACCATTAGGTGGAAATATTAAGGGGGAGCAATCCTTCCCGTGTTAAAACAGTTTTCATTTGGGTGATGGTTTTTGTTTTTTTGTAGTTTAGCAGCTTAAGGTTTTAGAATTGGGATGGAAATAATCCTGCAAATCAGCTGGCCGTAAAAACTGTGATTTTTAATAACATGTTGCTTTTATTTATTTATATTTTTTGTGGTGTCATGCAGGCGGAACTGACAGGCATCAAGTGGCGTAGGTACAACTTTGAAGGCCATGGAGATTGTGGACCTATTATCTCAGCCCCTGCTCAAGATGACCCAATTCTTCTGAGTTTCATCCGCTGTTTACAGGCCAATCTGTTGTGTGTTTGGCGTCGTGATGTCAAACCGAACTGTAAGGAGCTGTGGATATTTTGGTGGGGAGACGAGCCGAACCTGGTAGATGTAATACACCATGAGCTACACAGTAAGTATATATACATATTTTACCTCCTCTAATTCTGCAATGAAAGCCTCTCTTGAATGTAGCGTTCGTCGTTTATATAGGTGGTCCTCAATTTACCGCCACAATTGAGCCCAGACATTCTATTGCTAAACAAAAGATTTGTGAAATGAGTTTTGCCCCATTTTACGACTTTCCCTGCCACAGTTGTTAACTGAATCACTGCAGTTGTTAAGATGGTCACACGGTTGTTAAGTGAATCTGGTTTCCCCATTGATTTTGCCGTAAAACGGGGATCTCATGACTGCAGCCGTCACGAATATGAGTCAGCGGCCAAGCGTCTGAATTTTGATCAAGTGACCATGGAGACGGTGCAACGGTCGTAAGTGTGAAAATGGCCATAAGTCCCTTTTCCCCAGGGCCCTTGTGACTTTGGACGGTCACTAAATGAATTGTTGTAACGCGAGGAATACCTGTATACATTGCAAGGTATAAAAAAGATCCCCATTCTATTTATATGAATGATGGACTAGAAAAAATTGGATTGGATGGGAGAATGTTTGTGGTTTTGGGGATCCAAATGTGCACATTGAACCAAAGTAGATCAGTGAAGATTATAAAGGTTTGGTGACTCTCATAATCCTTCAAGTAAACACTCAATCATCGGTTTTAAATCATTTTTTTTTCTTTTCAAATTATGGGAAGAAAAAGTGGATGAATTTGTACATTTGCACAAGGATCCCAATCCCAATCTGTTGCAAGGGGCCAAAGTTTTGGTGTTCATGCCTGCCCCAACTAACGCAACAGTTTTGTGTTGAACCAGGCCAGTATTTGTAACCTGGACCCAAATGATGAAAATAGAATCAGTCATCTAATTTCTCAAAGCCATTTTACCTCAAGGCAGATCAATGGCTGTGCTTTTGGAAAATGTTGCTTAATTTTATGTACTGGTAGACTGCTTATGTTACAGTGAATGAATATATATATTCATTCATTCATATATATTTATGTATATATATATATATAAAATTTGCAGTTTTGCAGCTGTAGGAGGAGGAGTGGCAGGACTTGGGGGCAGAGTCAAAAGAGGATCAACCTAGAATCCCTACGGAATCACAAGCTAAGTCCAATCCCCTTTGATTTCCGTTAACCCTTATCCAACTCCTAGCAGATGCTAACCATGAGTTGAGAAGATGCATAGGCCAGGGGTAGGTAACCTTGGCTCTTTTATGACTCATGGACTATGCTGGCTCAGAATTCCTGAGCCAGCATAGGCTTTAGTAAGAAATCCTTTTGTTTGGACCTTCCCATGTGGAACTGATTTTTTTTTGTGTGTGCCTGACAAGCTGCAGTGATAGTTGCTGTCTGGCTTCTTAGGTGGGAAACATCTGGAAAACACATGTCATTGTTGGTTTAAAAACAACAACAGAGACCTCATATTAAGGTTTATTTTTTATTTTTTACTTTTAGGTGACCGTATATAAATAAGTCATCGTATGAACAGAAGTGCTTACTTTGTGGGAGTATGGTCAGCCTGGCAGTGTTTAATGTCAACTCATTGCCATTCACAAAATCTGTCGTTTGGATCCTTCTGCTGCTTTGAAAACGCGTGAAATATTACTCCATCCCACAGATTCACCCCTAGGAGGGAGAATGTGGTGCACACAGGCACCTGTGTGGTCCCCCTGTACGCTTCCCCACCTTAAATAAATGCAGAGGGCTAGTAAGACAGACAGATGCGGAGAAGAGGCATTGTGTAAAGCAGAGCATCAGCCTTCAACATAAGGTTTTATTTCTGAACCTGCCATCCGCTTTTCTGACAATAAAAGGCTCGATGTAGGTCAGCGTGTGCTTGGCAGGGTGTGTATTGTTCAGATCAAACCTTAGCACTAGAAATGTTCACCATTTAATTCTGTTAATGGGCTGTCTTCAGCTAAGGACATCCTCAGTTTGCTTCGTTGGGCTGTTGCAGCCAACCTTTCCGAAGGGTAGATCCACCCTTGAAGTACGTCGGGTTGATACTTGATTTTGAAAAACACCAGATGGTGGGAAATGGATGCGCCTTCTGTTCAGCGCTGCAGATTTTGACAGCTACCTGTTTCCTTCCGTTTCTTCGAGTAAGGTACCCTTCTTCACGTCCCTACTCCTTGACGTACGACCGCCGTGGAGCCCAACATTTTTGTTGCTAAGCGAGACATTTGTTAAGTGAACCTTGCCCCAGTTTACAACGTTTCTTGCCACAGTTTTTAAGTGGATTACTGCACTTGTTGTTAAGTTAGTGACACTTGTTGTTAAGTTAGTGACACTGGCTTCCCCATTGACTTTGCTTGTTAGAAGGTCATCAAAGGTGATCTACGTGAGCCCAAGATGCTGCAACCGTCATAAATATGAGTCAGTGTCATACATACATACATACATACATACGCCAAGCAGAATCAACGGGGAACTCAAATTCACTTAACCGTGTTACTAACTTCACAGCTGCAGCGATTCCCTTAACAGGAGTCCAGAAAGGTCGTAAAACAGGGCAAGCCGCCTTGCTTAATGTTGGGCTCCGTCGTGGTCGTAAGCCGAGGACCGCCGGGAACAAGTTCCTCTTGGCGCTTCGTCCAACGGCGACAAAGGAGTGACTGTCCACTTCTAGTAAGGTCTTGACACGCCGCGTCCTTCGCTGTGCCTGGATTGCAGGGGTAGAAGCCTGTTCCTGCTTTTCTTGAACTCCTGGCGACATTCCCGTCTCGTCTTCTTTCTGGCCTGTATAAAAGAAATGTCTTCATGAATACCAGATTGTTTTCTTGGCGAAGAACCCGGGGAATCTCTGAACAGGGTTGATTTCCATGTGCCTCTTGGCCTAGCTGAAGCAGGTAGCAAGCCATTTATCACGAAACGGAAGCGCTACCTCAAAAGAGTTCCATGGATGTTAATTTTTTTAATGGGACGCCTGTTCAGAATGGCAGTCTGGGTGCCCTGCCTCTTTGCCCAGCCAGGCTTTAATAATACGTTTCCTTCCTCCTCTTGATGTGATGTCGCCTATTTATTTTCCAAATGCAGTTTGCAGCTTGGGAATGCACCCTTACTGGAAGGAAGCAGCTCTTGTTGGAAGGAAGGCACAACTTTTGACTGTTTTGCTTTCCTGCTATTAAAATTTAAAAAAAAAAAAAAGAAGGTGTCTCGGGCTTCTGCGTGATGCATGAAGGATCCGAGCTGTAGTAACTTTCTGCTGGACGGCGTTAATTGTAAATTGAAAAGCACGCCGCATCTGGGAGCCGGAATTTGTCATTTGGTCTCCGTGTCAGTATCTCTGCCTGACATATATTGGAATGGAACCTATTTTGAAGAAATAATTGCAGCACCTGTTGTTGGTAGAAATGTACGTAAGGTGATGAGCAGTTTTCTGCTAAAGTTGTCTTCCAAGAAAGAGAAGGGGCATTTACAGAAATAGATTTAATATTGGGAAGATCTGGGGTTTGGTTTTTTTTTTTAAAAGGGGTAGCAGGCCTCTGTGGAAAGAAAGTGGATTTCTTAGGAAGCTTTTTGGTATAAACACTGAACAGCCTAGTTCTTCGTCACAGTGAGTCCTCAATTTGCATCGGTTCATTTAGTGACCGTCCGAAGCTACAGCGGCACTGGAAAAAGGGGCTTATGACCATTTTTCATACTTAACAACCATTGCAGCATCCCCATGGCCACGTGATTTATATTTGGATGCTGGACAACTGACTCACATTTACGACGGGGTCACGCCACCCCCTTCTGTGACTTTCTGACAGGCAAAGTCAATGGGGAAGCCAAATTCACTTAACAGCCGTGTTATTAATTTCGCAGTTAACAAATGTGACGGGAAAAGCTGTAAAATGAGGCAAAGCTCACTTAATGAATTTCTCACTTAGCAACGTAAATTTTGGGCTCAGTTGTGGTCGTAAGTCGAGGACTGCCTGTATGTGCTTTTGAGCCAAACACACAAGGAAAGATACACGAAAAGCAACTTTTCTGGGGACCTTCCATGTAATCCTGTTGTAGTCCTTGAAAAATCCCACCTCCCAAGTGGATTCTAACCCGATCTTTACTAATTGAGTAACATCACAGGTAGCCCTTGATTTACGACTGCAGTTGGGACCAGAACATCTGTTGCTAAGCAAAGCAGTTAAATCAGTCCCACTGGATATGATGACCTTTTGGGGGATGTTGTGACGGTCATAAGTGCAAGGATCAGTGGTAAGCCACTTTTTTTTTTTCAGCACCGTTGTAATTTTGAACAGTTGTTTAAATGAACGGTTGCAAGTCAAGAACAGCTTGGACCTTCGCTAAAGCAACTATTTATCCTATGCAGATTTTTTTACAGGTTGTATTTAATTTTTTCCCCCCAGTTGTTCGGCGCCTTTTAATTTACATTTTTGATTGCATGTGGGGGAATTATTCAAGAGCACTTCAGACGGTTTGAATGTTTATAATCAAGCACATACCAAAGATGATGTTAGAAGTTCTTTTTATTGGACCGTTTTATATGCACTGAAATGGGACTGCACCATTATGACATATGCTTCCGTTTACTCTTAAAGGTTTATGGGGAAAATGAAAATCCTTATGGTTGCCATTATTTAATAATCCATTGCATGTTGCTTCTGTAGCTTTTCAATGTATCTCAGGAACAGGAGATACTTAGTAACTTGGAATGTTATTGAAAATAAGCTTGTAAATCCTTTGGAAAAAAAACATCACTTTGTATTGGGCTCTCAGTACATATTGAACTTTGTGGCATTTCAGAAAGCACCAGTTGCTTCAAGGGAGTCTAAAATTCGACACAGAGGTAGTAGAGAGTGTCTAAAGGAAGAGGCAAAGCATTCGATAGATGTTCTTTTTTAAACATATGATTTGTGTTACTTGGACACTGTTTTATGAAGAGAATGGATGCCACGGAATAACCCTTTTTATTGCCCTGGTGATTAAATAAGAGCTAGCCACACCTTGAACATAGTTTTACATATCCATCATATAATCAAATGAGTGAACTTTACCAATAAAGG